TTCTATAATCTTAAGCGAGTTGGGAGAGATCAACAGCCTTCAAGCTTCCAATGCTTCAGACCATGTCTCATTGGTTGCACAAAGGTTCTGGACTGATCGCCATGGCACGAATAATGTTAACAACGCGCGACAATAACGTTCATGTGTTTCTTCTCGTTCGCGGCGAGGTATTTGAGGACCTATCAGAACTGGTACTACTGGAATGGAACATTTAATTATGAGATGAGATGTTGATTGTGGATGTACGCTGTCAAATGTATGACGTTCATTCATTTTCGTTCCTTCTGTAGGTAATTGTTGGCTCTGAAGATCTGTTACATTCTTTAGTAAATGACGATCCGATTTATCGATAACCTTCTTGTGAAAATGGCTCTCAAAGTCATATAAACACAATGCACTTAGATCCTTTGATCGATGCTGATAGTCAAGACGAGTATTGACCAAGACATAGCGATCGCCGCTGTTGGTTTTTGTAGGTTCTAATAAAAATTGTTCTTCAATTTCGTTTTTATCTTCTCCTTGTTCATCGTAGAAAGGCGTTGAAGTCTCTAGAAAGCTACATATTAAAAATCTATACAATTACTTTAAAAAGTTCTACCATCTATTCTCTCTTCAACAATTTCTTTTTCGTTAATTCGTGCTTTATTTAGTTCTGTTTGTAGATAGTTTTCGATTGAAATGAGAAAAAGATTTTTGAACGTATGTGTAGTGTAGTGGTCACCATAGTTCATTAGATATGACGCAATATGAACACCTGAAACTTCTTGTTGTGAAGCAATCATATTAAAGCAGCGTAACACTAGTTTACGCGATTTGCCAACAATATTATCTGTGCTATTAGAAATTCGTTCATGCTCGATAGATTTGATGTCTTGTTGTGCCAGCGCAAACATATCATAGAAGGCCAGAGTAGACTTTGTTACATAATCAGTTATATAGTAAACTAATGCTTTAGCGTCATTTCCACTCCAGATGAACTTAATATCCATGTTTGATCGACATGCAGTTAAGAGCCATTCGTTGAAGTTATTGATCCACGAGTGCGATCGACGCATAGTTATTTGTCCCGTCGTAGGATCAATATTAGAAACCTTCACTAGTGCACGTGGCATGTGCCTTCGACAAGTTTTTGAACTCTCATTTTTGCCTTTAGAATATTTATAACAAGCTGCAGAATGCTTGTGAATATTGCAGGTTTCGAGCAATTGAACTGCATCTTTGCGAAACGTTTGATCGAAGTCTTCCAATGCAGGATTTGGTGTCGGGAGACATGGTGGTATAACTTCACTTGCTGTCGATTCAATTTGTCCTAAGATGAAGTGAGAATTATAATTAAAGATCTACTAAAAGCTTCAAAGCTCACCAATTAATGTTCTATCATCGCTTGTCGTACTTGTTCCGTCGTTGGTTTCATCTTAAAAAAGAATATTGATGTTCAAAAGTACAAAAAAATAGAAGTCTCATAAATATATAGTAAGAATAAGTAATCGGAATGAAGTATGCGTTGGATTAATGAAAATTTTTAAAATGTTCTGAAAGCTCAAGTTCAAGGTAAGGCAGTGATGCACTATTACGGTGTAAAACAGCATCAAGTAGGCAAATGTAACAACTTCAAATGACATATTCGAACAATGTTAAATATATTACCTCGAAACGAATCTAAATCTTCTTTTATAATATCTTCTAAATAATTTAGTAAATTTTCACGAAAATCTTGATTTTGAATATTTTCTTTCAATTGTGCTGGAGTATATTCATGTTTGAGCCAAATCAAGAGATGTAAATGGAGCGATCCTCTTCCTTGACTCTCTACAGTGCCGAAATACGCTTTTGCAGGACCAAGTATACCGCCCTGCACTAGGCTTTTCAAAACGCTTTTTATTAAACAGTTGAAGAACTTTGCAGTTGCAAGAGGGTGTGTCGCGACAATTTGAGCACGCTCATAACTTGTACGCAGGACTTCTGGCAGAACGTTATCAAGATCGAAATCGACACCTCCAAAGTAAAGTGCCACTGGACTATGGATGCCGGCCGGATTGATTGTGAGGAAAAGGCTAGGAAGACCAAGATAAAAACATAAAGAATGAATTTTCGTACGAAGAGCTGATTGGGAATGAGCTGAACCCATGACGTGACCACCAATAATTTTGATGTGCTTCATCAACGTATTTATTCTCTCGTCAGTAACTTTTGAATAAGGCGCTTTAGAGATATGAGTAAGGGCTGCTGCTACATCCTCAGAACTCAATGAGTTAAGAACTTGTGCAGATTGTTGAAACCATGATCTTGTTGTCATTAACACATTGGGCACGATGTGGCCCACCGGTGGGCCACGCTATGGTTTTACGAGTAACTGTATAGAAGAACACTTTCTTTTGATTTTTTCTTAGGCACGAGGTTATAAACATGAAGTGTCAGTTGTTCTGTGTTCAGTGCTTTATTTGCGTCCTTTATTCCATAGGATAATGCTTGTCATTAAAACACTCTAGACAAAAAAACTTATCACAGTCAGAACAAAAAGTTTTCACTTTCTTTGCTGCCGCATAGCTTGCTTCTCTTGACTGTTGTGCCTTTCCCTTCGCATAGCAGCTAGTACATCGTCTGCCAACATTGCGCGTAGATCCTTCCTTTTCTTCGAGCTTGTGATCAGCGAGTTTGCGCTTGGAATGACTTGCTGATTGTTGTATCGGACCAGGTTTTAGCTTCTCGATTGGCGCACCAAGGAGTAAAGATCGTACAAGACTTTCTCGAAACTGTAAAATCTGTATGTTACTCGCCGCATAATTTTCCTTGTAAATCAGATAACTATTAACCACTGCAGTTCCAAATACCAATTCAAATGCCACCTTTTTATACCATTTTATTGACCGTCTCAGGCATGTGTGGTATGTTGATAGTTGATCTGATAAATCAGTACCTTGTCTGCCTTCATTGTAATCGAGAACAACTTGCGGCTTCATGATGCGTTCATTCAGTTTATTGATTTTTCCGGTGTTCACCACAGTTGCTGAATGAAATGGTTTAGTAGATATCATCAGAACGTCTCTTTTATCTTTCCACTTGATCAATTTTACACCGATTTTGTTCTGGAGCCCATAAACCTCACCAGGCTTGAGCTTTTTCTGAACAACTTCATATCCTGATCCAGTACGATTACTTCTCAATGTTCCAATAAGATACGTATCCTGTTCCAACAAACGTTTTGCTAGAGAAATACTAGTAAAGAAGTTGTCAGCCACCACGGTTCGATAACATCCCGAAAGACCATTCAATAGATTCATTACGACTGCTTCAGCATGTCCACGATCTGCCATAGGATCTTGCTGACCAGTATAGATCACATAATTCCAGGTGTATCCATTGGTAGCCGCTAGCTTGTATATCTTTACGCCGTACTTGTGTGCTTTTCCAGGGATGTATTGTTTGAACAAAAGTCTGCCTCGCCATGGTACCATACTTTCGTCGATGCTAATAACTGAGCCAGGCATATATACTGATGAAAACCTCTCTTTGAGTAAATCTGAGAGTGGTTTCAACTTGAACAGCCTGTCGTGGTCCGAATTCTTGTTATTGTTGTTTGTAAAATGCCAAAATTTGAGGAGTAATTCAAACCTCTCTCTCGACATGGCATTTCGTATGATCTCTGATCCGTACAATTGACTACTGCTCCAGTAGTATTTCAGTTTCGGCATTTGTACCAATCCCATCTCGATAATGATTCCAAAGAACTTCAGCATCTCTTCATCGGTGGTTGGTTTCCATTGACGAAATTTTGACCGTCTGCTAATCTCATGAGTTTGCAAATATTGTTCCGCATAGCGATTAGTTTCACGAACCATAAGGTCAATAATTTCGTCCGTAATGAAATGCCGATAGCAATCGATAGGGTCGATTGTATTGTCTCCTGAAGTCGAAGTTACTTCTTCGACGAGACCATGATCTTCCATAAATTCATCATCCGATTCTGGTTTTATTTCATTCCAGACGTTTGAATCGACCTCGTCATTTGTCACTTCTTCGTCGGAGCTTTCAGATTCAAGATGTATTCTATCGAAATCATCATCCAAAGAACTCACTTCACTTCGTGAGCTAACGCTTTCTTCTGAATCGGTTTCTTCGAACGACATGTGTACTATTCCAAAAATTCACTCGTCTTTATATAGTAAAACAACACATGGATAAGAATAACAGAGAAAAGCCTGGAATTTTCCTCCTTCTTCTCACATATGTTATATATAACATGAAAAAGAACGAAAAATTGACTCAGGCAATTCTAGTTACTCGCGAAAAATGATTCATTATGTAGTAATACAAGAAAGAGAACGATAAATAATCAGTAGAAGATAACGAAAGGGTCATTAAGTGCATTTATAGAAGTGAACTATTCATAAAAATGACATCTTGCAGAAATTTCATACGAAAACTGAATCGTGCCCAATGTGTTAAGGCTGCAATTTCATAAAGTTCCGAGAATGAAAAATTATGGGTGACATTTTTTATCACCTCATTGAGTGGTCCAACAATATATGCAAGGTGATTGCTGTAAAGAGTTTCATTTTTTACGAGTTCTATTACAGCTTAAACCAGAGATGTGCGGTCCACGGGGCCACGTGGCGGCGGGCGGGCGGTGAAGAAAAATTTAATTAAATGCGGGATTAACGGGGCACGGGTATTTTCCGGCACACGGGTGGGCGAGGTGGGGAACAAATTTTTAAAATGATAGGGGTCTCGGGCGGGTAAACTTTTTTTTTCGGGTGTGATGAAGGATCGTCAAACTTATCAAGAGATGTTGTTAGTGTAGGTATATATAGTACAAAGTACATATTGATTGGTTCATTGCTTTCATCCTATTATGTATAAGCTTGTCTGCTCTTTGTTTCTTTCTATCTTTATCGTCTGTCGTGCACAGTTTCCAGTATTAATTTATATTAAGTGAATAACTGGACTAATACTTATTTTATATTTAGAATTATTATTTGAATTTTCTTTTATCAATTACTATGATCGAATTACATGATTTATCTCTTGATGAATCACTTGATAGTACAACTTCGAATACTGATCGTTCATTTTCAATCATTTCTTCTTCTCTTGGTCAATACTCATCGAGTAATGTTAAATATAATCCATCAAATATAAAAATATTGTTAAAAAGCAACCAGAAAAATACGTGCTTGTCGACAATCACAAAGTGAATCATGCAAAACCATCTCCCGGTTGGAATCGATTTGCTCTTCCTGTTGTAAAAGATGAAAATAATCGTAATATTGTTATTAAAAATTTTGCAACGTGTCGATCTTGTTATGCAACTTATGTATTTACATATGGATCAACCAAATCACTAAATTCTCACAAATGTGTCAAAGAATTATCATCAATATCTACATCACCTAGGTATTTTAATTATCATCTTTTTATGTGATCTATTTTTTCTATATTTTTAGTACTAGATCACCATCCTTGAATTCGAAAATAAATCGATTTTCTTCTGAAAAGAAAAAGACGTTAACATCGTTGATTGCACTATGGATATGTCAAAGTATCCGTCCTATCAGCATTGTTGAAGATGAAGGTTTTTTAAATATTATCCAACAATATCTTAGCTGGGATGATGGTGAGACATTTATTAAAATCTTGAATCGATATTCATTACTCTATTTTTTTTCTATTAGGTCCATTTAATAATATAAATGGTAATGATATATCACCATCAAGACCGACAATCACAAGAGAAATTAATCGACAAGCAAATGATATTCGTGAACGTCTAGGTGTTATATTGAGAAAAGCAGCTAAACAAGAATGTTTAGCTATAAGTCCAGATTTATGGAGTGACAAATTCAAACAAAACAGCTATCTTGGACTAACTGCTCATTTTGTTGATGATCAGCATATTTTACATTCTATTGATCTTTGTTGTGAACCATATAATGAATTAGATAAAACAGCAGGGAACGTATTAAAGGTTTGAAGCAAAATTGAAACTAATATTAAGTTTCTATTTTTTTTTCTTTTATTTTTTTTTATCTCATTTAATAGTCAATTACAGCTGCTCTTTCTCGTTTTGGACTTGATCAATTAATGAATGAAATAACTTTTGTTTGTGATCGTGGTAGTAATCTATTAAAAGCATTAGAAGATTATCAAGTGGTTCATTGTTTTCCTCATAGACTGAATAATATCTTAAAACGAACATTTTATAGTGCAGGTACTAAAGAAAAAAAACAGAGAAAACAAAAAAAAGAATCATTGAAAAAGAATCAAAATGATGATCAACCCAATTTGAATAATTCAAATGATGATGATAATGACTCTCTTATGTATTATGATGATAGAGATTCAAGTGAAAGTGAATCTGATGATGATATTGTTCTTGATGAGAAATTTGTTGAATTAGCTTTGAGAAGTTTATCATCATCACCACCAGAACGTGATCATGTTAATGTATTAGAAAAAAATATACCACCTTATGCTGCTCAAATACTAGCAACAATAGTTCGTTGTAAACAGTTATGTTGCTATGTCAAAAGGGTATTTTCAACTATATCTAATGACATATATATTTTTCTTAACAGCTTTCATCCGTATTTCATTTAGGTTAATTGGAATCCTAAGCTGAAAGCATTAAGAAAGCCAACGATCAAACAAGAAATAATTGTTCGATGGCTCACAATGTCACAATTGCTCGAAAGTATTCTGTCGTCATATTCAGCTTTAACAAGTATTGCAAGTGAGAAGGGTGCCCTTCACACTCTTCCTACAATTGATGTGTCAACTGTAGCTACTATTATTGGTTTATTCTTACCATGGAAAGAGGTGATCGAAAGTTTACAAGCGATTAATACACCAACTCTGCATCTAGTAGTTACATCTTACTGATATCTTCTTGAAAGTCTGGTAGTGACGAAGGATGAAGTAGCTGATAAAGCAGACAAAGGTAAATCATTCTTAAAAAAACAAGTCAGTAAAAATCTATCTTTTTTACAGGTGTTGCCTTTTTTAAAAGACGTGCACGACAATTATTAAAAGCAATGTTCTCTTTGCACGATCTACATTGGATCGCTGCAATACTCAATCCACATACAAGAATGCTCAACCATGCTACTGATGTTGAACGTGCACATGCATATTGTCTAGTGCGAGCTAGAGTAGCTAAACTTATGGAAATGGCACAGATTGATAATAATGAAGAAGTATTATCTCCAGCAACTATTAGTCTAACACCACCACCTCACAAAAAGTTGAAGTCCTACACAACACAATTTCATGATGACACAGATTTAGGTGAAACAAGTAATAATATGACAATTGAAAAACGTGCTCATCGTGAATTAGAAATCTATTTACAACTGAATCTAACTAATTGTAAATGTTTAAATGATGATATTGACAATCTATTGTTGTTCTGGAAAGAACAAGAACATGTACTACCCAATGTGTCACGATTAGCAAAACAAATTTTTTCTATTCCTGCCTTTTCAGCTGCAGTAGAACGTGCATTCAGTTCAGCCGGTATTGTCGTACCACAGAGAAGAACCAATATCAATCCATCTATAGTTAATGATATTATACTTATTCGATCGGCTGCAGCTTGTTTGACGACCTACACATAGACTCTACTTAAGTTTCTTTTATGTAAAAAGTGATTATTTACAAAAGGAATGTATTATTAAAAATAAAGTGTTTGATAAATAAAACATTTCTTCGGATTATACCGGAGCGGGGCGGGGCCCGTCGCAAAAATGGCGAGTCGGGCGGGTCGGTCCAAGAAGCTGACTGTGAGGGGTACGGGCGGAGCGGGCATAGATTTGCCGGGACACAGGCGAGGCGAGGATTCTCATAAAGAATATCCACTGGGGTCCGGGTGTGACGGATTTGTGAATTTTACGGAGCGGGTCCCGCGGGGCATGGAAAAACAATGCCCCATACATCTCTGGTTTAAACTAAAAAGATTATATTAAGATAACTGGATAGTAAAGTTGGAAATACCTACCTTTCAGTTCGCAAGATGTTAAAACTGCATCCTCAGTGAAACATGTGATAGAGTTATAGAGACAATTGCCATTTGCAATGACGTCAATCGGAATCATATTTTGAACATCTAAAGATGTGTGCTGAAGATATAATTTGGCTTCTTGGTATAGCTTATGAATAACTGGGTTGAAATAAGTAATGGGTGCAAGTCTTATCAGTGTTGAAAGCCAGTCCATCTAAATTTCCGAAAGAGATCATATGACTATAAACCTCTTTCGCGAAAACTTACAGCCCCGAATTGTCTACAAATAGTCTTGATTCGATCATAATAACCGTCGGCAGTGGATGCTTTGTCAAATTCCATTAAAAGTGTCTTAAATATTTTAAAACGATTTGTTTTCCAACAATTTAAGCAGCAAGAAGGTGTTGTCAATTTAGAACAAAACAGACCTCGGTGGGTGTGAGGTTTAGATGTGGGTATGAGTGTGAGGTGTGAATGTGAGATGAGGATGTGGGTTTGTGTGGATGCCCTCATAATGCGAAGACATCCACACCTGAAACGAATTCTCTACCTCAAGTTTGGACTTTGCTAATACGTAAACCAAACACACATTTTTCAGATAAACAGCGTGGGTACCTCCAAAAAAAAATTTGATGAAGGCGTTCCCAGTTTGAAACATGGGAAGCCCAAACAGATTGTGTTAATTGTGGAGACCGTGAAATAAAACGCCAAGTTATACTTTTCGATTATCGAAGTTTAAAATGAAAATCAAGTTTGCTCATTTTTCTGTCAACTAAAACGCTAACGATAGGGGATTGCCACTCAAAATTTGTCAAGTAGTAAAATCGTCACCGAAGAGAAATTCATCAAAAATACTATTTAGTAATGATACTGAGAATGAGGAAATTGACTCAGAATTTGAAACATTAGACCACGATTTTCAAGATATTGACATTGCTCCACAAGAGATCGGAATGCTAGAAAGCTTTAGTATGAATGCTAAAGTGGCACTTCCATCATATATTTTGATGAATTCCCCAGCTACAACCGCCCCTCTAACATGAAGGAGAACCAAACAAAATATAAAACAGAATCAGGCCTACCGGATTAGGTCTAAATCATTCTAAATAAATGGGTATGGGTTTACCAAATTATTCCTGTATGAACATACCAATGGACACGGATTTTCCGAATAATGTCCCTCCTCTTCAAGCAGAATGGGCTCAACGTGCCGAAGAGGAGAAACACGGATAAGGTTTTCCTTAAACGTGGCCAACAATCCTGTGTCTTGTATGAAGTAAGTGTACAACTATTTGAATAATACTTAAACTTCCAGGAAAGTATAAATAAACGTTAATCGGCTTGTAAAGTGTTTTCAGCTCTTTTGCATAACATGATGCTTATATAAGATTAGCTAACGGTAACCCATTTTACCTTCATAAATAAAAATAAATGACAATTCAACAGTTTATAGAGACTATATGTTCATTGAAATATATTGTACTTGTGTAAAAAATACTTTAGATACATCATAGTCTTCTTAAACTTTTGTTTTTTTTTCCAGAAAAATATTCATAATAATTTTTCCTCATAGACACTGTCTAGTTGATCAACCTTGTAAGCCATTTTTGGATATCGTTCGAAATTTTTTAATTTTTTTATAACCTTTTTGTAGAGGGTCATAAGAAGTGAGCCAAGCATGCTAACCAAAGAAACGTGGTTCACTTCATATAGAGAAAATGGACCAATCAAAATGCGAGTTCTTACTTCACCGCCATCCAACTATTTTCCCAAAACAGAACAATAGTATTCACAACCCGGAAGTACCATTCCCATAACAGAACAATTGTGTTCTGTTTTGGGAACAGTACTTCCGGGTTGTGAGTATTATTGTTCTGTTATGGGAATGGTACT